AAGTATTAAAAGAAGATGGAAGGAATATACTGAGTCATTATATAGAAAGGAATTGGCAGATACAGAGGAATTTAAAGAAATAACATATGAGCAAATTTAATGCATAGAGTGAAACAATCAGGAGAAATACTAAAAACTTTTAACCTGTTTTCTTTTCTACTCTTGTTTGTTCCTGATCCTTTGTCTTCTTGACCAAGCTACAAATCTGAGGCTTCCTTTCTCACTTCATTTTTTCTAAAAATTTGTTTTGCATACTATGTACATTGAAACTATACAATTGCTCATCTAAATTTTCAAGCCTAAAATTTTATTCCTTGAAAACAAAGAATAAAGTTCTTCATGTGTGGTTCCTAAGTCTAGATCACATTTTTGTATTCTTGAAAATGCCAATTCCTTGGCCTTATTTAGGGAGTTCTGGTGGCTTAGTGGTAAATAATTGCACTGACAATGCAAAGGTCCCTAACTGTCCTGTAAGGACCTCTCTAAACCATTGAAGAGTAATGAAGTCCGTTTGAGGACTAAGGTGCATCTGATTCAGGCCATGGTCTTTCAGATCACTTGCTAAACATCTGAGAGCTGGACAATGAATAAGGATGACAGAAGAAGAATTAATACCGTTGAACTGTGGTGTTGGAGAACAGCACTGAACATTCTATGGTTGGCCAAAAGAACAAATATGTCCTGGAAAGGATGCAGCCAAAGTGCTCTTTGGAGGCAAGGATGATGAGGTTTTTGCCTCCCAAAGTTCACCTCACAATGTTGCTAGGAGGGGCTATTCCTCGGAGAGAGATATGATGCTTGAAAAAGATGGAGAGTTGGTGAAGGAAAGGAAAACCCTCAACCAGATGGATTGACATGGTGGTGATCGCTACATGGGCTCTAGTATGTCAGGAAGTGTGAGGATGACACAGGATAGGACAGGGTTCAGATCTATTGTTCATAGTGTTGCTATGAACATAGGGATGTACTTAACTTGATGGCACTGAATAATAATAACAATGCAAAGGTACATGTTTGGATCCACCAGCTGCTATGCGGAAGAAAGAGGGGCACTTCCAGCCCCTCAGGCCTCTACTTCTGAAAACCCACTGGAAGGTCAGCTCTGGGTCAGTTTTGGCTTGACTGTACACAATAACAATTAAGCCCCATTTAGGCCTTCTAAATATTTTAGCAATGGAGTTGTAGCATTTACATTTGTTTGTTTTTTTAGGATTTACATTTTAAATAAAGCATTCCCTGTGGTTCTTATGCCAACCAAAGTGTGAAAGCCACCCTTTTAAAAGAAGGGAAATGAGTTATGTAGAGTAAGAAAATCAATCCACTTGCGTGAGCTTGGGAGCTCTGGTGGTGCTGCAGCAGTTAAAATGTTTAGCTGATAGATGAAAAATCAATGATTTGAATCCACTATCCATTCTACGGGAGGAAGATATAGCAGTCAGCTTCCATGAGAATTTACTGTTTTGGAAACCCTACACAATGACCAAGGAGGATAGAAGGAGAATTGATGCCTTTGAGCTGTGGTGCTGGAGAAGAGTATTGAGAATACCATGGACTGCTAGGAAAACAAAC